TGGTCATAAAGATCGTGGTAAGGATACTGGATTTTCATTCTATGGAAGTTGGAGTCTGTTGAAGAGTTTCAAGCAGGAGGTGAACTATTCTGGCTTTCTAAAAAGATAACTTTAACTGCTACAGGGAGTGTGTTAGTGTTTTCTCAGGCTGCTATAAAGAACTGCCTGAGACTGGGTAATTTATAAAAGAAAGAGGTTTAATTGACCCACAGTTCTGCTTTACTGGAGAGGCCTCAGGAAACTTACAATCATGGCAGAAGGCAAAGGAGAAGCAGGCACCTTCCTCACAGGGTGGCAGGATAGAGTGAGTGGAAGCAGGGGAAATGACAAATTCCCCTTATAAAGCCATCAGATCTTGTGAGAACTCACTCACTTTCGAGAGAATAGCATGCGGGAAACCACTCCCATGATCCCATTACCTCCACGTGGTCCTGCCCTTGACATGTGGGGATTATGGGGATTACAATTTGAGGTGAGATATGGATGGAGACAAAAACCCAAATCATATCAGGGAGAATTGATTGAAGGGAGGAGAGGGCGGACAAGGAAGTGTGAGATAGGAGGCTCTGGCAGTAGTCACATGAATTAGGAGGGTGGCTTGTATGAGGATTGTAGCAGTGGTGGGCCAAGGGGTGGGTGAATCTTGCAGATAAATTGGAGGTGGAAACTGTAGGACCTGTTGATGAATTGGATGTAGGATGTGAATGAAAAGGAGGAATTGAGAATAAGTTTTTTTTTTACTTGAGCAAATAGGCAGATAGTAGTGCTGTTAACTGGGATGGAGGAGGTTGTTACTTGTTCCGTGAATTTTGGAGAAGAAAAAAAATCTCCCCCACTTTTTTTCTGAGACGGAGTCTTGCCCTGTCACCAGACTGGAGTGTAGTGACACTATCTCAGCTCACTGCAACCTCCGCTTCCCAGGTTCAAGTGATTCTCCTGCCTCAGCCTCCTGAGTAGCTGTGACTACAGGCGCCCGCCGCCACACCTGGCTAATTTTTGTTGTTTTAGTAGGGAAGGGGTTTCACCTTGTTGGCCAGGATGGTCTCGATCTCCTGACCTCGTGATCCGCCCGCCTCGGCCTCCCGAAGTGCTGGGATTACAGGTGTGAGGCACCGTGCCCGGCCCAAAATATCCCTTTTTAACATGTTAAGTTTGACATGTTTAATATAGAGTATCACAATTTGAGACATCAGGCAAGTCCCTAGATATGTGAGTCTAGAGCTTACATATGTGGAGTGGGGATATTTAAGCCCTGAGAATGGATGGAATCTCAGTGTGGGCAGGTTGTATGGAGAAGGAAGCTAAAGATGTAGGCGAGTGGTCAGAACAAGTTCTGAGGGACTCCGGGTTCAGAAAGTTCAGAAACAGATGATCCAGAAAGGGAAGAGGAGGCAGAAACACAGACTGAGGAGTAGCCAGTGGGGAGGAGAACGCCAAATGCTGATTTCTGGACCTAAAGGAAAAGTGTTTCAAAATAAGGGAGGGACAAACTGCATAGCGCGCTGCTGTGAGGTGGGGCAAGATGGTATTATTGGAATTGGCAAGAGGAAGGTTGTTGCATCCTTTGAGAAAATAGATTTTTTTGGAGTCTTGGTGGTAGAAGCCAGACTGAAGTGAGATTGAGTGAATGGATGGCAAAAAGTGCTGACCATGCTTGTGAGAAATTTTTTTGAGACCTTTTGCTATAAAAGAGAGGAGAGAAATGGGAACTAACTGGAGGGGTATCTGAGGTCAAGTGAATGGAACTTGGTGAGCACATGGAGAAATCAAATCAGTGAGAGTTCAAAGAAGATGGAACTGTGAATTGGCCTTGAAAGATGAAATTATTTCATTTCTGTGGAGGGGAGCATTATGAGTGCATTGCTACACAAAGGTAGCAGTGAAATGTATAGAATCAAGGGAAGATCATGGATTTAATAATTAGGACTGCTCTGACTAGCATTGGGTAGTAGTGACAAGTATTTAGGGTGGCAACAAGTGGTGAAAGGGCTGAAACGTGACCATAATGTCTTTTCCACATATATTGTTGGCAAATTAGTCTGTATTTAAAATGAATAATTTAGTGTTTTTTTTGAACTAACGATATTAAATTTGATACTAAGAAACTACTTAGTATCCAAACAAGGTATTTTCTTTTCTATAATATGTTCCTTTTAATAGGGGACTTAAGTTTTGATTAGAGCACATACCAGTATCTATGTTTTAAAATCTATAGTTCTTTTACTGTTTTTTCATCTAAAGGTCAAGAACTCTTGTTTCTTATGCTTTGTTTTTTATCATTCCTGTTAACCTGGTTTTATTTTCATTTTATTTGGAATGTTTTCTCTAGATATTTTATGCCTTTCAGTATGTTATGGCCAAAAAGAAACTAGGAGAATACTACATTTATTACTGTGTTATCTGATATGAAAAGTGGGAATAAATGATTGTTTTTAAATATACAGTGTCCTTAAGAAGTATATTTCAAGAAAATATACATATTCGTGGTTGTATTTTGAAAGTTAGTAGATTTGACAATCTGAACATTATTTATAGTAGTTCCTGAATTCCCAACCTGGCTGTGTAATTTAGTGTAATTTGGGTGGATGCATCATTGAATGACATGTAGGTGTATGTTTGTCTTGCCCCCAGGGCATGCTAAGTACTTTGTACTCCCTCCTAGAGCTGTTCATTTTAAGTATTTAGTCACCTTGGTAAAGGTAGGTGAAAATGAAAGCTTAAAATAAGCTATAATTATATTCAGCATTGGTGATCTATTACTCTGACAGAGGAATGTAAATTGGATCTAGATATTATACAGTATTAAAGCTGACCTTCCAAGTTTAAGGTACGAAATTTGTTAGTTTGTCACATGTGAGCAGTAATGTATTTTTTTCTCCTTTTAAGAAGCTTTGTGTATTGATTTTAAACCATTAGGTTTGTGTTTCCCTAGGCATTCATGTAAGATTATTTTTTTGGGTAATTAAAAATATTTTTCTTATTACAAAAAATGTAAGTTCATTATAGGACAATAAGAAAATACACAAAAGCAAAATCAAGAAAAATGTATAATATTATCTACTTAAATAGACACTAACTTCTTGGAGGAAGAGAGAGAGAGAGAGACAGACAGACACTGTCTACAGAGGAAGTCTTCCTGTCTAATACTGTTGGTTGATTGGTTAAAAATTTGCTTAAAGCATGTAATCATCAAATAAATGATTCAAATATACTCCAAACATTTTTTTTTCAATCTAAAGGATAAACATTTTTTCTCTAGACATTTCATGTAGTGCCCAGACCTTTTCTTGGAGTGGGCAAAGGCTGATTGCATAAAGCATACCCATAATGCATTGTCTTCCTGATGTTGGTGTTTTAAAGTAGAACAGGATCATAAAGGCTCTGGCAAAGCAATCTGAATGCAGAACTATACTTCTGCTAAAAAAAAAAAACAACTTTTTTTTTGGTACTACGATTTCCCTTTAATATATAGTGGTTCCCACATTTACTTTTACAGCAATTTAAAAAGTAATCTATTTTTAACTTTCCAAATCATTAGGCTTAGTTTTCACAGAAGTACCTCTTTCCCCAATTGTGTGTTATCTGTTTATATAATATTAATTATATAAATACAATAGTAAGTACAACTGTCAAGAATGGATTTGGAAACAAACCCAACTGGTTCTGGTGGGAGCAGTGTGTGGGGATATATAAGAGAGTAGAACACAAGCCTTGAATTAGCTGACTAGGTGGAGGATGATTAAGAATGTGTTTGTATAGCTACACATATGTAATACATTTCTTATATGTGAACCAAAACATTGAAGAATAATAATAGAAAACACCTTATATACTATTTCTGCTTTTTAAACTTAAGATATATGAGCATCATTCCACTTCAAGATTGTAGACATAGTTTTTTAAGTTTGGTTTTGTTCCTAGGCCCTAGCTAAGTGAGGTAGGCATCTTCTTTGCTCCTCTAATATTCTCTGTTTATTTTTGTAATAGTGTTTATTGCACACGGTTTTTTTTTTTTTTTTCATTATCCTCATTTCAGTCCTCCTACAAATGTCTTCCATCAACTCTTTAATCCCAAATTATGTGTTTTTCTTTCTTCTTACTACCCCTTTTGTCTTTTAATTCTTTTGCAATCAGTATTTCACTTCCACAGAATTATTTACAAACTGCTCTTGAATTCATTTATTTATAGTTCTTTTTAGCCCTTATTTTATTTGACCTCATTTTAGCACTTGACTCTTGACTCCTCTGTCTTTTGAAACTTCTTCTTTCCTTTGGATTTGTTATGTCAGGTTTACTTGGTTCTCCTCTTACCACTGTCACTGCCTTTTTCTGATTTTCTTGGTGGGAGTTTTTGCCTATTCTCACACTCTAGCAGTGGATGTTTCAGACTTGTGTTTGAAAGATAGACTAAATACACTCATTTTTTTATTTTTTATTTTTTTGCTAAGCATAACTAGACATACTGGACATTATATGTGAAACAAATAGAAGAAGACAGGCTAGGAACCTTGGGACTTAAGGAACAATATGCTTGTGAGTTTGCTGGGTTGTCTTTCTGCCTTTTTGTCAGATTTGGAGGTGAAGAAGTGAGTAACCCAGAAATGACAGTGGGCACAGAACAAAGAAGTCCCAACAGAAGCCTTCTCTCTTAAACCAAAGGACTACAAAAATGGCAGCAAACAAGACAGAACATGTTGGCAATAACTGCTCTATATTTCTGCTGAATACCACAGAAAGAAATCTGTGGCCCCATCTCCACTCCCCCCACCGCCTGTCCCCACTATCAAAAAGCAAAGTGGGTAGCCTGGATTTCTACCTACACAGGGCAGTAATGAGGCATTCCTCCCCCTCCCCACTGGCATTGTGTCCAAAGTGGCCAATAGAGTCAGGGCTTTCACCACCACCCAGTGATAACAGACGTCCACATCCCCCTTCCATGGTGCTATTGTAGGTTACATGGTGAGCATAATGAGGCAGTCCTTCTCTCCATCAGGGAGTGCCTAGCTTCCCATCCATGCCAGGTGGTAACAAAGAATCTCTCTTGGACTTCTGTTTCCACCTTGCAGTAACGAGGTGGTGCTTTCTCTTCTTCCACTGAAACTGTGCCACAGGAAGCTTACTGAAATAAGAGGTTTATATAAGATTTATATAATCTTCTAACACGATATCCCAAATTTTCAAGCTTCAGTATAAAAAATATGTCATACCAAGAAGCGAGAAAATCACAAACTGAGTGAAAAAAGACAATAGATGACAACACTGATATGACAGAGATAGTAGAATTATCTGACAAGAATCTTTTGAAAAGCAGCCATCATAAAAGTGTTACAATAGGCAAATAGGAATGTGCCGAAACAAAAGAAAAAAATAGAAAGTCTCAGCAAAGAAATAGAGGAAACTTTATTTCTTCTTTTAAAGAACCAAATGGAAATCTTAGAAGTGAAAAATACAATAACTGAAGTAAAAAGCTTATTGGAGGGCTTCAAAAGCAAAACATGAGGCTGAAAGGAAAGAATTAGTGAACTAGATTATAGAATGATAGAAAGTATACAATCTGGACAACCAGGAAAAAATAGATTGGGAAAAAAATACATACAGAGTCTCAGGGAATTATGGGTCTATAACCAAAGATCTAACATTCTTGTCATTGGAGTCTTGAGAGGAGAAAGAGGACAGGATAAAAAAGTACATGAAGAAATAATGGCTGAATAGAGTGGGCACGGTGGCTCATGCCTATAATGCCAGCACTTTGGGAGGCCAAGGCAGCTGGATCACCTGAGGTCAGGAGTTTGAGAACAGCCTGGTCAACATGGTGAAACCCAATCTCTACTAAAAATACAAAATTAGCCAGGCGTGGTGGCATGTGCCTGTAGTCCCAGCAACTCGAAAGGCTGAGGCAGGAGAATCGCTTAGAACGCGGGAGGAGGAGGTTGCAGTGAGCCGAGATTGCGCATTGCACTCCAGCCTGGGTGACAGAGTGAGACTCTGTCTGAAAATAAATAAATAATATATATATACACACACATACATATATATATGTGTATATATATGTGGCTGAATAGTTCTCAAATTTGGCAAAAGATATAAACTTACATAAACTGAATCACAAACAGGATAAACTCAAAGAAATTCACACACAAACATATCAAAGTCAAATTCCTGAGAACTAGACTGGGTACGGTGGCCCACGCTTATAATCCCAGCACTTTGGGAGGCTGAGGTGGGTGGGTGTCTTGAGGTCAGGAGTTTGAGAGTAGCCTGGCCAAGATGGTGAAACCTCGTCTCTACTAAAAATACAAAAATTAGCCGGGTATGGTGGTGCGTATCTGTAGTCCCAGCTACTTGGGAGGCTAAGGCAGGATAATTGCTTGAACCCAGGAGGCGGAGGTTGCAGTGAGCTGAGATTGCACCACTGCCCTCCAGTTTGGGAGACAGAGTGAGACTCTGTCTGGAAAAAAAAAAAAAAAAAAAATCTGAAAACTAAAGATAAATAAAAACATCTTGAAATCAGTGGCCAGATTGCCAATTTCATGAACTAAATGGGAAATATTACCAAGATATCAACAGGGTAATAAGGAAATACTTTGAACAACTTTAAATACACAGCTCAACAACTTAGATGAACTAGATCAGTTCTTTGAAAAACACAAACTACTAAAACACACCCAATATGAAATCGATAATTTGGATGGCCCTCTGACTATTAAGAGAATTAAGTTCCTCCTCCCCAGCAAAAGATCTTCAGGTGCAGGTGATTTCACTGGAGAATTTTACCACAAACTTAAAGAAGAATTAATGCCAATTCTCCATAGTCTCTTCCAGAAAATAGCAGAGCAGAGAACAATTAATTTTCTTTTAAATGAGGCTTGAATTACCTGATAGCAAAACCAGACCAATACAGTACCAAGATAGAACAAAACAAAATCAAAACCCTCAAACTTACAAACCCATGTTCATCATGAATATAGTTACAAAAATCCTTATATAATGCATTGTATTGACAAACAAAAGAGGAAAAGTCACTTGATCATTTGAATCGATACAGAAATAGCATTTGACAAAATTCAACACTTGTGCATAATGAAAACTCTGAGAAAAGTAGGAATAGAGGGTGAGTTCAGTTGTAAACCTAGAAAGATATATGTAAATTCATAACACCCTGTCTCTGCAGAATGTGGCCCTTTTTGGAAACAGAGTCATTGCAGTGTAATTACTTAAGATGAGGTCATAAGGGAGTAGGGTGAAGTCTTGATCCAACGTGACTTGTGTCCTTAAAAAAAGAAAGCAGAGATACAGAAAGAGTCTCATGTGATGACTGGAAGGATTGGTAGCTTCCATCAGAAGCTAGGAAGAGGCAGTGAAGGATTCTACCCAGAGTGCCAGGCAGCAGCCCTGCTGACACTTTGATTTTGAACACCTTGCTTCCAGAACTACAAGAGAATTTATTTGTTGTTTTAAACTCCTCAGTTTGTGGTACTTTGTTGCTGCAGCCCCAGGAAACTAATACAGAGGGGAAATTTCTTAACTTGGTAAAGAGATCTAAAAAAAATCCTGTAGTTAATATTCTATTTAGTGATGAAAGACTAAATGCTTTCCCTCTAAGACAGATTGAGAACAAGGCAAGGATGTCTGCTTTCAGGATGCTTATTTTACACCATGGGGAAGTTCTAGGTAGAACACTGAAGCAAGAAAAGGAAATAAAGGCATGCAGGTCAGAAAGGTAGAAATAAAACTGTCCCTATTTGCAAATGACATGGCTGTTTACATAGAGAATCTCAAGAAATCTACCAAAAACTGCTAGAACTTATCACTGAGTTCAGCAAGGTTGCAGGATTCAAGATAAAAATATAAAATTGTATTTCTATGTACTAGCAATGAACTTGTGGAAAATGAAATTAAAAACACAATACTATTCATAATTGCTCAAAAAATAATTGTAATTTTAATGAATTAGCCATAGACTTTTATGCTGAAAACTACAAAATAATGATGAAAGGAGTTAAAGAAGATCCAAATAAATGGAGACATCTAGTGTTTATGAATAAGAGACTCAATTTGTTTGTCTATTTGGGTTATTGGCAGAATCCAATTTCTTGTGATTGTGGGATTAGACTCATTTCTTTTCTAGCTGTCAGTTGAGGGCCATTCCCAGGGTTTTCAGTCTACCTACATTTTTTGGCTCTTGTTTGGCCTCCTTCATTTTCAAAACCAGTAAAGGTAAGTTGAGTCCCTTTTATGTTGTTGTTGTTTTTTTTTTTTTTTTTTTTTGAGACAGAGCCTTGCTCTGTTGCCCAGGCTAGAGTGCAGTAGCACCATCTTGGCTCACTGCAGCCTCCGCCTCCTGGGTTCAAGGGATTCTCCTGCCTCTGCCTCCCAAGTAGCTGGGATTACAGGCACTCACCACCACAACCGGCTATTTTTGTTTTTTAGTAGAGGTGGGGTTTTTCCATGTTGCCCAGGCAGGTCTCGAACTCCTGGCCTCAAGTGATCCACCTACCTCAGCCTCCCAAAGTGCTGGGATTACAGGTGTGAGCCAGGGTGCCCATCCCTTTTTATGCTTTGACTCGCTTTCTTTCATCTCATCTGTCTAACTAAGCTGGGAAATTAAGAATTATATGATTAGATTGTAACCACCTGGATAAACTAGGTTAATTTTCCTATTTTAAAATCATCTGATTAGCAACCTTAATTCCATCTGCAACTTGAGTTTCTCCTTTGCTACATGAGCTAATATATTTATAGGTTCTGAGTTTAAGATGTGCAGATCTTTTGTTGGGCAAGGGTAGAATTACTTTCTTTACTACATATGCCTAGTCCTTTTATGCCCTTCCATTGCCCATGGCATTATATATGTGGTTTTTCAAGATCAAGTCCTTTCTTACCTGTTTGGTTTTATCTCTGATACAACTTTCTCTGTTGCTCAGCACAGGCCATTTCTTTTATGTTTAATGTCTTCATGTGTATACCCTCCTGCTTAGAAAGACTCAGGTCAGACAGCAGATGCTTTGAAGTTCCCAAGAGAGGTAGATATTGTACGTTCTGTTCCCAGAGAGCCATGACTATAGCATTTATTACATTATGGAAATAATTTTGTTCGATATTTGTTTTAACCACTAGTCTGTGATCTTTTCAAGGGCAGAGAACATACTTTACTCAGTTTTGTATTTCTCGTATTTAGTGCAGTATCAAGAACACAGTGTTCCCTTTAATAAAGGCTGACTTGGCCAGGTGTAGTGGCTTACACCTGTAATCCCAGAACTTTTGGAAGCTAAGGTGAGAGGATTTACTTGAGGTCAGGAGTTTGGACTAGCCTGGGCAACATAGTGAGACCCTATCTCTACAAAAATTAAAATTAGATGAATGTGGTGACACATGCTTGTAGTCCCAGTTACTAGGAGGGCTGAGGCAGGAGGATCGCTTGACCCCAAGAGGTTGAGGGGGCAGTGAGACATGATTGTACCACTGTACTCCAGCCTGTGTGACAGAGTGAGACCCTGTCTTTGGTTTTATCATCTTTGATTCAGTATGAATAAATAACAGTTCTGAAATTGCAATTGAAATTTCTAGCTTGAAGGTTGAGACAGGTTCAGTCATGGTGTGGAGATCTGTCATCTCTGTGTTTATTTCTGCATACATAAAGGCCACAAGCCTGGTTATCAGCAGACCTAGATGTTATTTCTAAGTTACTGTAACCTCTTATATATAACAATAGAAGAGACTTAGTTTCATTAAAAAAAGATTTATTGAGTGCTCAGTCTATCCCATGCTTGAATAAATATGATATATAAGAAATGGTCCCTATACTCAAGGAGTATGCATCAGGTAAGATTACTCTTATGATCTGAGATTGCTCTTATGATCTGGTATGTTTATTCCAGATCATAAGGATAATAATTCCAAGATTAATTCCATTATAATTCATGATGCATTTGTCTTTCCCTTTCTACAGCACATCTGGGAAGAAAGGTAGTAACTTTAAACAAAACAAAGGAAGGGTAGGAGGGTCAGTCTTTGGGGAAAAATACTTGAGAGTGCTTTGTTCCTTTTGGCCAGGAGATAAATCTGAGACCTGATTGTTGCCTGTATTGCTCAATGAGGTGACTGCGTGTATTTGCTTCCTAAAGCCAACAACATGTCAGAAACCACTTTATACACTTTCTTCATCCTGTGTTTCTGGAAGTAGTAACTGAATTTCAAAGCCTAAGCTGCTTTTGACCATTTAAAGGCGGGTTAAACATTGTAATTCTGGGAATCTGTTCTCCCTCTCCCACTGTTTTTTTTTGTTTGTTTTAATTTTTATTAAAATTCATCTCTTCTTTTCTCCTATATTGAGACCCCTACTAGGAGTGCTAAAGGGTAATATACTTAGAAGTTTTCCTTGAGGCAATTAGAGGAGTTTGATATTTCCTGTTACAGAATTTTAAGAGGTAGATTTTGTGTTAAATTAGTATTTAGCACACTACGGTTGCTCTATTAAAGCAGTTTTTTCTGATACAAATGTCATACTGATCTCTATGTCATTTCTATTCATGAAAAAGAAACATGTGCATATTTATCCATGAATGCAGTTTATAGTTAAACCACATAATGCCTGATGGTACTGTGCTGATAGGCACAGAAGAAATAGTGCAGATTTTAGTTCCTGGAGATTGATCATTTATAGATCAGTTGATAATTTTTTTCTAGGTTGCTTCTTACACTGATGATGAGAAATTTTTCATTTTTGTAGAAAGCTATGGATCTCAATAAACCTCTGTCAAGACAGCAGACCTACCTACTCAATATCACTTTTTATCTTGAACATCTTTTCCGGTGGAAATAGGAAGTGATTTCGTACCCCGTCCTTAAAAATAATATTGCTGAAAATAGTAGGGGTGAGAGTGAAACACTTGAGATTATTGCTTTATGAGTGATACTTGTTGATACAACAGTATGTTGAGTTTGCAAATTTTTAAGAAAACAGGGAGACATTTTATGCATATTTAATTTTTAATCTTTTTAATAAGTACTTTTGTTAGCTTTCTTTTAATTCTTATATTGTTTCTTTGGTTGTCAAGTGTCTCAGTTTTCTTTCCCTGTACCCTGTCCCACTTTTCTTGTTTTTGACATGTTTTATGAAATATAATGTGTAATCTGGTTTTCAGAAGGCCATTGCCCAACTCTCATTTTATTGTTGAGCATGGAACTTTAATAAGTTTTGTTTTATAGAGAATTAGTTTATATATAAAATGAGTGAGTAGGCATAAATTGTATTTGAATAGTTCATATTCTGTAGTTTAGGAGGGAGTTATATAGTGGGTCTAGAAATAGTTGACTTTAGACCATCTATGAGTCCCAGTATTCTAGTTATAATTATGTTAAGGGTAATACATTTTAAATAGCTATTTTTATTATTAATTATGTAGATCAGAGAACTTACTGATTTACATGGATTTGTGCTTCTTAAATTTTATAATGGGTCATAATATAAGCATATTAAGTGTAACTAAGTCTTTTCGTTATATTCGCATAATTTAAAATTACTTTGCCTGTTTTGGTGTGAGGCAGTTTGATGAACAGTGATTTTATTCTTCACAATGATTAAAGGTGATAGCAGTATGAATAATCTGAAACCATTTATATTGGCTTTAGAATATCTTTGTGGCTGTACTTTTCAATATGGAGATTGTTGAAAATTTACTTCAAACAAAATACTGAAGCCCCTCTGTGAAGTATTAAAGAGGAGTGCCTTATGAACAGTCTCTCTCCATGCATCTCAATGTCAGCCCAAGTAAAACTCTCAGATTACTTCTCACTTCCCTGCTGCATGTGAAATAGGAATAAATTCAGAGTAGGATGTCAACAAGGCAAACCGTTAAGTGAGGTGCTGTGTTGTTTTCATGAATCATGAAAACAAGATTCAAAATGCCTGTAGGTAATCTGTCTGTCGCTAATAGTAAAGAGTAAACCCTTCACTTTTGAAGTAGCATCCTGGTTTGAAAACAGCAACCTCTGTTTAACATTTTTCCTTACCTTAACTATAATAGCAATCTTCAGTCTTTCACAAGAGAGTATCTTTCCTGTTTAAGTGCATTTTAAAAATTAGTTATTTCATGGCTTTCACTGGCAAGATATGAGTAAAATATTGTCTGACAAGAGATTGCCAATCTATATGGCAAATTTCTTTTTCTTTTTTGTAAAATCAGAAATCCTCAACATTGATAGGTGTCAAGTTGTGTTTACAGAAATGTGCAAATGAAGAAGCTGGATTTTAAATAATATTTGTATTTTTTATATAAATATATTGCATTTGGTTTTTATTCTCTTGTTTTCACTAGAAATGTTATATTGTATCTTAAGGAAAAAATGATATTTTGGTATTTTTTGATGTATGACTTAAGCTTGTTTTTATTCTTTACAATGTTCTGTTTTTCATTCCTTGAAATTTTGTTTGAGATGGAGTTTTGCTCTTGTTGCCCAGGCTGGAGTACAATGGCGTGATCTTGGCTCACTGCAACCTCTGCCTCCTGGGTTCAAGCGATTTTCCTGCCTTAGCCTCTCCAAGTAGCTGGGATTATAGGCATGCACCACCACGCTTGGCTAATTTCGTATTTTTAGTAGAGATAGGGTTTCACCATGTTGGTCAGGCTGGTCTTGAACTCCTGATCTCAGGTGATCTACCTACCTCTGCCTCCCAAAGTGCTGGGATTACAGGCAGGAGCCACTGTGTCTGGCTGAAATTTTGTTTTTAACGTCTTATTGTTCAAACACTACATATATTCATACATAAAATCACATGTATAAGCACATGCATCCAAATGAATATACACACGTGTATCTTTTCTTTCCTTCATTCTTTTGGCAACAGATTATTATCATTGTATTATTTATTGGCCTAGGTTTACTAATCTCCACTGAAAAAAGGTATTCATCTCTACTAAGGTAGTTTTCCTGTAATCCAGGCAAGCTGTTGTTTAGTGACAGTAATGTTCTAGTTATGTAAAGTCCTGTGATTGGGTCAGTGGGTTTATGGGACAGATTTTGTTTGCTGAAGATGGAGATACTCATTTAAAAACCAGCAATGCATTTTTTTTTTTTAATCGACTGAACTTTGAAACTTAGGAAATTCTTAACATTTATAGGAATGTAGTTCAGTGGTTTGGGAAATTCTGCTAAAGCATCTGCTTTTTTTGATTAATTTTTGCCAGTAATCTTTTTCTTTATGTTGATCTACATCTTTCCTCCATAGATCTTTACTCACTTGTACAATTTGTCTTCTTTGGCATAGCCCCAAATAGGCAGTAATTAGTGGTGTGCTGGTAAATGTTTAGAGCCAGCTCTGGGTGCGTGGGCAGGGATGGCTCTGATTGGTTTGCCAGTTTCTTTGGTGTGAATACTTTCACTGTGGCTGATTTCAAGCTACCCATGTGATGTCCCTAAACATGAAGCATGTAAAAGATGTGCACAGTCTGCTCTTACAGACTTGTGCAAGCAGAGTTTAGCACACTATTGGCATATCCCATCTTTGCTTCTTTCGCAACCAAGATTATGAGTCATGAATAATTTTTATGTGTGGTGTTATTCTTATGTTTTAGTTACAATTAGGAATATAGCAAATATAAAATACTTGTAGGTATATAACATTATGAAAACACAAGCTGCATTACTGACAATGTGTGACTATCTTTTTTCTGTTTTTCAGTTGGGTGGAAAACTTTGGACATGAGGGGCTTGGATTATTACTAGACATTTTGGAAAAACTGATTAGTGGAAAAATGTAAGTATTGCTAATAATTATTTTCAAGTAAGCATCATTCATGTGTCCAATTATAATTCCAACACTGCTATTTTTATGTCAATACAGCCAAGAAAAAGTTGTAAAGAAAAATCAACATAAAGTCATACAGTGTCTAAAAGCCCTGATGAATACGCAGGTATGTACATAGGTAATTAGTATTTGTCCATGACCAGTTTTGTAATATATGATTTTCAGTTGCAGTAAAGTGATGATATATCCTTCTGATGTGTTTTTCAGTCATGATGGAAAAATATTGAATTTTCTTGAATTCTAGTTTCAACTGTCTTGCAATAGGAGAAACTTGATAATGAAGTTTCTACTGATGCTGAACTCCTCATGTGTAGGTTAATTCTCTCTCCCCACCCTTTCCTCCCCATCAACCCTGCCCACCCCAATCCCATCTTCTTTCTTTTTTTCTCTCCCTCCACCACCTTTTCTCCACTTTTTTGTCCTCCTCTTCCTCTTTTCTTCCTTCCTTAATTTCCTCTCTCTCTTAACTCTCAAAAGTATGGCATGAGTCAGCTTTAAGATCATGATTATTAAATGTGAGCTGCAATAATACTTATTACCAAAGGTTCAAGTTGGGAAGATTTCTTATATTCTAGGAATTTAAAATCTACAATGAAATTAATGTAAACAGATACAAGCAGGTCTCAGAAATGGAGCAATGATGTAATATTGAGAACAAATATAATATGGAGGAATTTGTATAAAGAGTTTACATTAGAAGGGAGAAACCTACTTGTGGCTCTCACCTATAATCTTACCACTTTGGGATATCGAGGCAGGAGGGATTGCTTGAGGCTAGGAGTTTGAGACCAGCCTGGGCAACATAGTGAGACGCCGTCTCTACAAAAAATAAAACAAATAGCTGGGCATGGTGGCATGTGCCTGTAGTCCCAGCTACTCAGGAGGCTGAGGTGAAAGGGTGGCTTGAGCCCGGGAGTTTGAGGTTATAGTGAACTGTGATTGAATCCCTGCACTCCAGCCTGGGAGACAGAGTAAATCCCTGTCTCTAAAACAAAACAAAACAAAACAAAACAAAGCAAAACAAAACAAAACAAAAAAACTAGAAGAAAAGAGGAATTCTTAAGCTCTTTACTGAAGTTAGATTTTAGATTTATCTAGCAATGTTTCTTTTTTGCTTTTATACTGTTAACTGCAGAAATTAGCATTATCTTATGCCGTTTCTTTAAGCTCCAGCATCTAAACACATCTACCTCATGATGTGTGAAGTAATGATAGGTGTTTAAGTTGCTGTTAGACAGCATGGGAGGAAATTTTACCTGTGGTGGTATGATTATTTTTGTTTTATATCAAAACCATCTGTATATTTCTGATTAATTTTAATTTATAATATTTTACCTTATTCTCATTTAAAAATAAACTTTTATAGGGCTACACACTTAAGTACTAGTACATAAATTATTAAGATTTATTTTGTATTTCTTTTACTAAATGTATTAGCAAATATTTATATTTTCTAATTATTTTTGTCTTATTAAACAATGTATTTTTAAGCATTTTCTGGAGGTAAGCTTTCTATTTTTAATTAATGAAATGTTTTTTCTTCCTTTCCTACTCTAATCAGAAATTATTTTCAAAGAAAATATATGATGGAGGAATCACAACTCCTTTTATGCTGAATTCACGGTTCTTTGAAAATCAGATATTAGATATATAAGATAGCTTTTTACGTATCTGTTTTAAGAGTAAATGAATGAAAGAATCAAATTGCTGATAGGGAAAGGTCTTTTCCCACTAAGTACATAGAACTGGTTTAGGAAGCCCTTTCTAGAGTGAGAATATAGCAATTGGAAATTTTGTTAGTTATGGAAAGGCCGAAAGTAGAAAAAATCTAGGAACCTTTTTTAAACCAAAAGGGCATTTGGATCATAATTTGAATTTAGAAGAAAATCATGGTTAAAGTAAGGTGGTAAATAGAAGATAATATTCTTTCTTTGTTTCAGAATGAATCTGAGGAAGATTGAACTTTATTTATTTTCTAATTAATATACTATTATCCTCTTAAGAGATTTTTGTTGCTTGTAGTTTATATACGTGGACCTATAAAATATTGCCATTTTATTTGGTGCTTTTATCTGTGTTATTAAGAATAAAAAGTTAAGTTATTCGTACTTAGTATTATAGTGTCTGAACTCTAAACCTAGCAATATGTGAAATTTTTGGTAAAGTTTTTTTTCCCTTCAAGATTGGTTAATGGTTTTCTTAATCTTTATTTGATCACATCTGTAAGTACAAAATTTGTTAAACCTCACTTATACAGTATTTGTTAGCATTCATTGAATGATGAAAATTTAAGTTTTAAGAGGAAAAAAATGTGCCTTATTTGGTACTAGTAATTAATTATACAATTAATGAGCAAATTTGATAACATTACATGAAAGTGAATTTCTTATAACATTAAATTGGACTAAGAGTATTTTTTAAATAGAAGAGAATTTTAATTGCCTAGGGGAAAGAAAATAAAAGATAATACGGATGAAAAGTTAGTATATTCAAATTGAAAGGTGATTAGAACAGAGGCTTCAGTTTGGTCAGTTAACTTTGTGTGTGTTGCTTTGAAGAGTGCACCCAAAGTGAGGGTGCTTTGCTCATGAAGCCAGCAACTTTACCCACATAATTTCTGCTACTGGGGTTAACTCACTGTGGGTGGCTGCTCAGCACCAGTAGTCATGCTGTGTGGGTCCAGATGTTGGGCATCCTACATGAGGATTTAGGGCATTAACTTTCTTCTACCTAAAACATCATCTTCAGTGCCTGAAATTCCATCTGTTAGCTAATAATAGGCCTCATGTGGAATGCAAGTGGAACCTGGCATTGATCCTCAGTTTAGAACAGGCCAGTTATCATATTGTCCGGAGTGTGTCCTTGACATTCAGGAAAGATACATCCTTAGACCTTTCAAAATTTGTCATGCCTCTCTAACCTAAAACAGGCCTCATTAAATATACTTTAATCCTAGCACTGGTAAGTTGACAACTTCTCACACAGAGTCAACAGTTTTTGTTTTGTTTTACTGTGTTTTTTAAATAATTGAGAGTAATTTTATACAAGTAGCAATTCTGTATTTAGGTATACTGAGTAGTAGTAATTGGCCTCATTCCAGTCTTAAAATGAGTGTGACACATTTTTGCATTACCAAAATCAGAGAATGTTACCTGGGATGGACTTTTGAGGTCACAGGATGATGGTTAAAACTGTGAAATCAGAGTAGGCTCCTATTTCACCTTTCATACGTGATGGTTTAGGGACAGAAGGCTTGACAGAGAAGGTAGGTAGTATCACTTGGAGGAAGTCAGCATGAGTCACCTTGGGTGGCTGGAGGAGTCACAGGATTCTGATTCTAGAAGGGCAGGTGTTAGCCAGGTAGATGGGAAAGGAAAAGGGAATACTAGAGGCAAGCTTTACTCAATTCCCAGGTTTATTAAGGACAGAGCCAGCTCTTCTGTACTTGGTAATCATTGACTGACTTTCTGAATTGAATCTAAGTGGTACTTTATAAACCTGACATTTCCCTGGAATGATTATCAAGGCATATTGTAGTTTCTGGTCCTATGCCTGCCTTTTCATTCTTTTTCCAGTTAGGTAGTAGCCCAGGCTATCATAAAAGTAAGTATTTCCTGATTGTTTAGCTGTCTTGTTGTAAACTTTTCCCTATTACTAACAAGACAGAGTAATCTCTCCAAAATTCATATTCTGGGGCCCTTGGCCTTTCCTTGCACTTTCTCCGTTGTTCCTGTGTTTCTTAGATAGTGGTTTAAAGTAAATGCAATATTTCAGTCCAATACAAATGGCCATATACAAGATAGGAAAGTTACAAATAGGATTTTATAACAATCAAAGTACTTGGGTCTAAGCTGGTTATAGATACAACTTTGATGCTTACATGTAGTGCTGATCTTGAGTTTAGTTCATAGGCCTGTAATTGAGAATAAGGTCCTTTTTTAGTGTTTGGTAGCAACTCTGATTAGTCAATTTCTCATGCTTTAGTAGGATCCTCTGAGATGCATGCTAGGTAAATAGTACTGTTTTATTGTTTCTATTCATTCTCTGTATTTTGACAGTTATCTTTCATAGAAATGTCATTAACATAATTTCTTATCTTCTAATTGGGTTTGACTTCCTGGCAGTAGTAAATAAACTTTATCTTAATCCCAATTGTCCCATTTATAGAATGAGTTTACAACCGCATTGTTTTCCTTATAATAAATACCTTTGTGATTAGAATACCTGTGCCCATTATGGCAGTTTCTACATGGTAATTGCCCAAATCATACTTCAGTTTTTGCTTATTTATGAACTAAATGCTAATATCTAGGCCTATATTTTGTAATATGGTAGCTACATGTGGCTTCTGAGCATTTGAAATGTGGCTAGTCTGAATTGAGATGTGCTACAGTGTAAAATACACACTGGATTTCAACTGTTTAGGAAGAAAAAGAAGTGAAATGTCATCAATAAATGTTTTATATTGGTTATATGTTGAAATGATAATATTTGGGATATATTGGATTAATTTTATTGAAAATAGTTTTGCTTGCTTGAAATTTCTAAATTACTCGTGTGGTTTACTTTACATTTCTCTTGGACAGTGCTGATCTGTGTGTTTGCTTATGGTAGTATATCTCTTACCAACCTTCCTTCCCAGGAAAAAGATTTTCATGACCTCAGTGTCTGGTTCCGTATCTGGCTGTTTGTTTCATATGTTTCTGTTGGCTAATCCCATATTTCTTACTGTTTCCCTCTTTCTCCATTTGGCTAATTAACCTGTCTTAATAATTATCAGCTGTATTGTTGTAACATCACCTTGAGTTATCTTTATTTGGTTTAGTTTTGTGGTTCTTGACATAAAGTGAATACCCTTATGAACTTTTGTTTTTTTTTTGAGATGGAGTTTTGCTCTTGTTGCCCAGGCTAGAGTGCAATGGCACAATCTCGGCTCACTGCAGTCTCCGCCTCCCAGGTCTAAGCAATTCTCCTGCCTCAGCCTCCTCCCAAGTAGCTGGGATTACAGGCATGCGCCACCATGCCCGGCTAATTTTGTATTTTTAGTAGAGACAGGGTTTCTCCATGTTGCTCAGGCTAGTCTCGAACTCCTGACCTCAGGTGATCCTCCCACTTTTGCCTCCCAAAGTGCTAGGATTATAGTTGTGAACCATGGTGCCTGGCCATGAACTTTTTAGAGTGTTACACAGTCTATATTTTTTAGCTTTGGTAAGTGTAAAAATATATTATCCTATAATAATTTTTTAGTAATTACTTTTCCTTCAGGGCATTATTTTTCTAATTAATTTCTAACATTTGACATCTTATTTTCAAAATATTATAGTATGGCTTGGAAAGAATTATGAGTGAGGAGAGGAGTCTTTCCTTATTGGCCAAAGCTATGGATCCCAGACACCCCATTATGATGACAGATGTGGTTAAACTTCTCTCTGCGGTATGCATTGTAGGGGAGGAAAGCATGTAAGTGTTATCAACCTTTTTCTTTAATCATATAATAATTTAATACAGATTGATTCATTTAATGTTTCATTATCTACTCTAGGCTAGAATTTACTAGAATTTAAATAAATGTTTAAATATTTAAGCAGCTAAATTAGATTCTTATTGGCCAGAAATTTTTGAGTAACAATTATTTATCTTAATTGATTTGTTAGTTATGGGCTAAAATACTTCTATAAAAAACTGATTTCTTTATCATATTTAAACTTTTTTTTTAACCGAAACCCTAAATTTAAAAACATTCTAAATGAAGGCTTTGAAAATATACAAACGGTTCTGTTTCTTATGTGATTTTTTTTTTTTTTCCCCAGATAGAATTATTTCAAACTGTAGGTCTTCTCTATCCCCTTGTAAAAGCAAACATATTATGATTTGGAAATCTATATGTAAGGCAGATTAGAAAATGATTTATGTAATTGTAGTTTACTGGTTGAGGGTACAAAGTCCTTGAGCATAAAGCACATAGTAGTGCTGTAAAGAACTTAACCACATTTGTTAGGAGTATAATTAAATACTGTTACATACATATTAAAGATAATTATAAAGATAAAGATTTTTAAAAATTAGGGTTCTAATTATAAGGAAGCATTTAAAAATTATTTAAAATGCCTTTTAAAAAAGATAAATATATAAAAACTAAACAGCCAAAAGAACTAACAGAAACATCCCACACATGTAGGGGTTGGCAGAGCCCTGTAAGGGCAGCCTCCTGTGTTCATTTGAAAGTCAGCCTTGTGGAGGTCCTGCTGGAGTTGGAGGGATTGAGCAGGTTCAGCTTGATGGTTGGATAGTCAAAGACACCACTCGGCCTTGGCCAGTCTGCCCGCAAAGTGTGCCTACAGTGTTTATCTATAGAAGAAGTGTAGCCACACCTAGCAGCAGTCCCAAGCTTGCAAAGCCAGGCTTACAACTTCAGTACTTAAGACTGTATAAATGTTGGTGTACAAATCTAAGAGTGACTTTATGTGGACATATACTTTCTGAGCTTCCCTTCCCACTTTCTTCCTTTCCCCTTTCCCCCATCATTTTTTAATTCTCTCTTAACCTCCTCTTTTTCCCTTTTCTTCCTCTTCTTTCCTCTTGGACTCTTCCTTGCTTTTCTTTTCCCTTCCCTATTCTGTTATCCTTCCCTTTCCTTGTTTCAGAATGGGTGTCAATATCCTGTAAATAACATTTACGACTGCATGTCCATGTCCATGAACTGTGAGCTTCTCCAGTGTGCTGGATGCTGTTAACTATTTAAAAGAAGAGGAAGTATAGTTTTTGCATAATTATTATATTTTATAATTGAATATTTATAATACCATACTATTATATATTTTTGACTATCATACAACTTCGTTTACTTAAACTTTTGAGGCATAAGGGTGCAGTGGTTGAGAGCATTTATATGGTGCCCACCACATAAACTGTCTGATTTCAGATTCTTGCTCCACCATTTCACAGATGTGAGACCTTGGACAGAATGCTTAACCTTTTTCTGGCTTAGTCTCCTAACCTATAATATGGGTTAATTATAGTACCCACCCCAAACAGTTGTTATATACTTTAAAATGAGTTGATATTTGTAAAGTGGTTTAAATGGTGCCTGATGTTAGTAAGCATTATATAAATGCTTGATAAACATCTTCACAGGGTTATTGTCAGGGCTAACTGATTAAAATGTAATATGCTTAGAACTGTGCTTGATACATGGTATGTACTCAGTAAACTGCTTGTAAAATATATTGGCTGCTTAGGATATTGACTTTAGTAGGATAAAGCAATTGTATTATGGCATTGTGTTTGCTACTTGCAATTTAATTGACTCAAATTTTCTAATAGCCTTGAAGAAGTTTTAGAAGCTTTAACTTCAGCTGGTGAAGAAAAAAAAATTGACAGATTTTTTTGTATTGTGGAAGGCCTCCGGCACAATTCAGTTCAACTGCAAGTAAGTTTTGTGTGTATATAAAATCTATTTCTATTTTTAAATGACATATATTTCTTTTAATTGTTTTGTGATTGGTTTATATGAAAACGTTGATATGAAGCTCTGCATGCCTTTTGATATTCTTTTATAGCATTATTTATTTATTTATTTTGAGGCGGAGTCTTGCATTGTCTCCCAGGCTGGAGTGGTGGCGCGTTCTCAGCTCACTGCAAGCTCTGCCTCCCAGGTTCATACCATTCTCCTGCCTCAGCCTCCCAAGTAGCTGGGACTACAGGTGCCCGCCACCATGCCCGCCTAATTTTTTTGCATTTTTAGTAGAGACGGGGTTTCACTGTATTAGCCAAGATGATCTCAATCTCCCCTGACCTCATGATCTGCCCACCTCGGCCTCCCAAAGTGCTGAGATTACAGGCATGAGCCACTGCATCTGGCCTAGCATTATTTTTAACATATAGAATTCCTATTTGTACTATGTCATAATTTATCTTACAGATACATCTTGGCACACAACAATGTAACCATTTCCTAGGTTGCTTTTCCTGTAGTAGAATTATTAGATTACCTTGTATAAGATATAATCATATGAACTGTTTATTCTATGTTAGTCTCATAAATTACTTTAACTTTTGAGATGTTTTGCCAATTAGGTAAATTAGGTCTTTTCATTGTTTTAATGTTAATAACTGAAAAGTTGAGCTTACATGAATAATAAGGAAACCCAAGGTTATAGATGTTTCCAAAAATACTGCTAAAAAGACACATATAGACTTAAACATTTTAATATTCAAGCTGAATAACTAATATTCATTTAATTTCTCTTTCTTTTCTTAAAAAAGGAAAAGAGGCTTTTATTGGTATAATTGT